GGGTCCTCACAGCTGTCCAGGGGCTCCTTCCTCGGAAGCTCCCTGGCCTTGTAGGGTCCTCACAGCCACCCCGGACCCCTCCAGCCTGCTGGGAAAGCCGAGCGGTGTACGCTGGCCGTACCGCTTGCCTTCTCCTCCCGACTTCCAGAGCTAGGATGCACTGTGATGGGTGATGGTGTGAGGTCAGCTGGGCATAGGTGTTTCCCCGGAGCCTCCTCTGCTAGGTGATGTTTTTCAGTGAGGTAGGACGGTGTTCCGGTGTGTAACTCCTACAAAATATACCACTCTGCAAAGCTGTGCAGGCAGCTGAGGTCAGGCTGCTGAGGTACCTGTGTGCCCCCATTCACTTGTCATACCAACTGTAAGTGAGAGCTGAGGTGTGTGAGTAGGAGAAAAGAGCTTCATCACCTTTGTGGATCCAGCCTTCGGAAACAAACCTGTTCGTGCTCCTCTTTTGCCAGCACGTGCGCTTGCATTTTTGAGCGTGGTAGTTGCGGCACCCAGGGTTGGCTGTGCCATCGCTCTCCCAGCCAAGCATTGTTGCAAACGATGATGTTAGCCAAGAACACTGTGTGAGAGTGTAAGGCTGCAAGGCCCTTTGGCCAGTTCTGACAAATGCTATTGTTGAAATAGCTGCAAGAATATTTTTATGGTTCCTAATAAGCTGCTGCGAATTGTTACAAACGCAAAAGCTAATGTGTCTTCAGTTAATAAAAACCTTGAAATGCTATGTGTTTCTTTCCAGGAACTTCCGCTGTGACTGTGGAAACAGCAAGTTCAAAAATCTGCAGTGCAAGTTATTCCCAGTAAGTTCAGATGTAGGTCTCATAGATACGGAATCAAAATAACAGTCTTGGAGGTTTGGTGCCTTGCCTCAGCCAGCGTTGACTCATGCAATGCCTCCACTTTTTTGAGCAAGTTAAACAAGGTGGGAGTATTACAGCAGGAGATAAAACTGTTGAGGGACCAAAGGGAAATGTGCCGAGAGAGAATGTTTGATTCCTGTCATCCATGCATGCAGCAGTTCTGCATCCACAGTCAGTGTAATGCCAGAAATGTGTGAGGCCTGCAGTAATACGTTTCATTAGCTTTAAGCTGGCTTCAGGAGAACTTTTTGGGGTGCAGTTTTGCAGTTGCATTGGGGAAATTTAAGGTTGTGCTGGTGTCAAAGGAACAACCCCGTCCCCTTTCTGGTGGCATTAGTGCTCTAACGTTTTTGACAGATTGTCACCAGAGCCTACTGATAGGATACTTTTTTAGTGTATAAAGCCCCATGTGCATTAAAGTGCATACAGTGGGCATTTTTGACTCATTGGGTAGTTGGTAATCTGGGAATCAGCAACAGGAAGCTGCTTGGCTTGCCTGCAGTGCTGCTCCCAGGGTAACAGCACTCCGAGTGTAGACAGCACAAGTGGTTTTGTGTATGCTCATTTTGTTCTGGCAGAGTTGGGATGGATCCAGAGCTGGTCAGCCTAGGGCTGCAGTCTGACACGTGTGACCATTTTAATGTTACTGTTTCTCATTTGAGTCAGTGACATGGATCACGTGGTTGTTCCTTCTCCCTCAGTTCAGTGCCAAATCAGTTGTACAGGTTAAGTGACCTTCAGTAGCCATCTGTTAATCTGTTAATTAATTCTGTTAATGGCAAAAGACATTTTGTAGTAACATCATAAATTGTCACTGCTGTTTCTGCAGGAGCTGATGGTGGCCTTAAGCTGCATCTGTGTGCAGTTCTGAAGCCCTCTGGCTGCAGCTGTATTAGCTGTTGGATTTTTTTAAAATGGGATTACCTGTAATTGAATTTCATTCAGCATGTTTTGTAATTTGGATAATCCTCTGCTGTAGAGTGAGGCTTATATGACATGAATTTAGTGGAAGCTCGGTGGTAAGATTAAACAAAGTTGGATTTGAATTGCAGTATGGATGTTTAAAAAAAACTGGAGGGGAAGGTGCGCTATAAATCCACAGATGTTGCTACGATGACAGCAGGCAGGCATGGCTGGTGATCAAAACTCTTGTATCATTTTAGATCGGCAGTATCTTAACAAACAACAGTTGCCATTTGTTACCGAAGTAGAAAGACTGTCTTTCCTCTTTCCTTTAGTACTTCAGTCTTCTTTCCTCTTGTGCCCCTCTGCGGATCACTGTATGATGTAGGTGTCTGGATAAAATCTTTCTTTTTGGATCTTCAAGCTGATGTGTGTAATGATTGCTTTTATGCGTTAAACTGGAAGAGGAATTGGCTTTTTCTAGGTTATTCATATTTTCTGTCTTTTGTTTTCCACTGCATTGTCTATTGAGACATTTTTTCCTTTCCCCCTAGGAAAAAAGCAAGGTGAATTCAGGAAATAAGTATAATGACAATTTCTATGGATTATACTGTACTTGTAAAAGACCTTATCCTGATCCTGAAGATGAGGTAAGAAATACAAAAGCAAGCAGTAATCATATATAGATGGTATTTGTGCAAAATATTATACAAAGGGTGGTTGCTGAGCTGCTTTACGGGGAAGATCCCACTTTAAGAAATCTTATGTTTCATATTGCTTTTGTTGTCATGTGCTGTATAGTGATCTTTTTAAAACGGTAGAATATGTTTAAGCTGTAATGGTGAGGAAGACAAACCATCATTTGGACAAAACATTGCTGCAGTCGTGTTTGTTTTCCTCTCTCTGAAGTTACTGGGTTCCCTCAGGGGTGGGTTTCTCATCATCTTGAGAAGTGAGGTGACCACAGAATAAACACTTTGCATGTGTTCGGAGAGGCCAGAACCTGCTTCCTCGTGTCTGCAGCAGTGCTCTGGGGTGGGAAGAGTCTGTCCTGTAACAGGGGCTTTAGCTTTCCTTTCTGGGAGTTAGAACACTTTTTCTGTCTCTCTAATAGTAAAATGTACCTCTTGATTTGCACGTGCACATGTTTGCAGCCATGGAAGTTTGGTGTCTTAAAGAACAGGGAAGGCTCAAGTCTTTCAAATACGAAGAAGTACTTTATAAACTCACCTCTCTGAAGTTCAGAGATAACTAAGCATTTCTAAAGAAATAATAATTGTTTTGAAACAGAAACAGTTTTCACTGTATTGTGGACAGTTAAGTTAGGATTCTGGTATTCCTAAGTAAACCCTATGACATAATGAATATCAAGATCTTTCTTTAGCTAAGCTGCCTGTTCACACATTCCTGTTTATTGGAAGATTCCACTTGTATATTAACTTTTATCAGCTCTTTTGTGTGAGAATGTCTTGCTTTACTGGGAAAAGTAAAGTTTCGTAATAATAAATAGAAATTTCCACAGTCTTAGTAATGCAACAAATTACAGATGCTGTTGAACTTCAGGGAAGCAAACTGACTAATGAAGCGCTAACTACTTATTAATGGCAGCTTCCTGCGGGTGGGTGAAGAGGGCAATGCAATTCACTTGAGCAGGCTTTGCAGATTGAGGCTTGTGAAAGATTCTGGAGGTCGCTGTTAATGCTAATAGCATGACCATTCATCTAGATTCCCGATGAGATGATCCAGTGCATAGTTTGTGAAGACTGGTTCCATGGAAGGGTAAGAAACTACATGTACCAGAATTGCTATTTGCATAGAAGGTTGGTGAGGTCTGTATGGTTTGTCTTAGTTGGGAAGGTTTGCTGCAGTGCTCAAAAGAAGATTACCTGAGTCTGAAGGTATTTCTTTTCATCCTGTGCAAAGGAACATTGAAAGTTTAATCTTGCATTGCTGACCACTCCAGTCCAAAAAACCAAGGAAGAGTTCTACCGTTTTGAAGGTTACTGCTGCAGAATAAAACAGTGACTTTGTAACCGTCTCTTTAATTGGAAAATTCTAGGCAGTAGCATCGGTGAGAAGATTCTTCCTGACGCACATCTTTATCAACTGCCTGAGCAGTTCTTCATTCAGAAGAATGCTTTTTAAACTCTAATTATTTTAAGTAGCAAGGAACAAACTGCACTGTTGGTTCCTGATTATGAACTTTGGGGAAGCATTTTTAAAGCAGCTCAGCACTTCAGTGAGTGCCCTACTTAACGTGTAAGCATTTAGGATTCAGCCTCTTGTGCCTTGAAGGGTACGAGTGAAATTCCATGTTTGAAGTTGCAGGATCAAAGAATTAAAAAAAAGATGATTGACTTCAATTATGGATTCTGTAGATAAACTATAGGATTCTTTAGTATAAACGTATGTATTAAGAATGAAATGCTGCGTACTGTGAACTTTGGAAGAATACTTTTCAAAAGAAAGCCGATAAGCGCTTTTAATTGCCTAAATAGTTCTCACCAGTTTATGGAGAGCTTTGGGACCTAATTCCTCTCGAGTTCAGTATGAAGACTTATAATTCCTTCCTTCCATGTAAGAGATTATAAGTTATTTTGTAGCTTAAATGTGCAGTGTGCAGTAGGTATCTTTACCTGTCCTATGTTTAGGTCTGTTTAGGAAAATAATGTTTAAAAATAAGCTAAAGATAGAGCTGAGATTTCTGGGTATGTAGAAGGCATAAAAGGCTGTAGACAGAGAATTATTTTGGTTTTTCCCTGGAATTCTTATCAGGTCTTTCCAGTCTTTGAGTTACACCAATAATCACTGTAGAAAGTTAGCAAGAGTGTATGCTTGTGCTGAAAATATGATGGCAGCTGATGTGTTACTTCCTCTAAAATTAGAATTGAGTCTTGTTTATTTGCAGCAAAAGTTTCACTGCTGCATGCTTGTTTCTTTTTGGTAGCATCTTGGTGCAGTCCCCCCTGAAAGTGGAGACTTCCATGAAATGGTGTGCCAAGCCTGCATGAAACACTGCCATTTCCTGTGGGCCTATGCATCACAATTAGCAGGTAAAAAAATGAAGATATCTGAGCCAACATTTCATTAGCATGTATTTCTCATACTTGGTTGATTAATGCCATAATACTGTTTTAAGTGGTTGGAGAAATGATGTTCATTATATTGAACAACCACCTTCAGCAGTGGAACATGCAGGGCTGCAGAAACTGCTCTGCTAAAAAAACCCAACAATTGCAGTTCCTGAATCTTAATTCTGTGGTGTTCACTCTGCTATTTATTTTATCAAAGATTTGCTAGCGTGCAGATGGGTGAAGATTTAGTGTTTGTCTCAGGGAACTTAATTTCTAAACTAGATTAAAGAACTGAAGATCCATCCTAAGGGAAGCAGCAAGGCAACAGCTGAGTCTAAGAGGCTCTGAGCAGCAGAAAATGAATGATAGAGTGATCCGAAATGAATGCGTAAAACCTTAACTTGAGCAGTGCTGGGGCTGTGCTCAGGACATGCGGTTCACTGCGGTCACACCAGGCTTCTGCTATGTGGTCTCTGTGGGATCCGAAGGGTAGATGGCCTGACTTCTGTGGAAATAGCTGGTTTCACATTAGTTCTCCTAAATGTTGCTTATATCAGCTGATGATTTCTCTCTTATGTGACAATTTCAATGGTAATTTTAAGGATTCCAAGCTGGCCTACCCTGAGGTTTTCTTCTTTTTAATGTAAATACGTACAGAGTGGGGTTTTCTGTTTGGTTTTGGTTCTCCTCCTAACTAGCTGTGTCACAGGGCACACATTTGAATTGACATCCAAAGAAAACCTTGTTTTAAATAAGGATGTGGTTAGTGTAGTTAATCTGTCATGGAGTTTTTGGGGTGTGCATCTGGAGAAATGAAGGACTCTGACACAAAGTCAGCCAAAAGTACGCAACAGCTGCTCAACCTGCCATAGCTGTCGCCCGCCCCTGCCATAGCTGTCAAGGGGTGTCAGGAAGGACAAGCATGTTTGTACAGAACTCTCTGAAATGGCGATACCCTTTTTCCTCTCCTAGGGCTTAGATTTTGGGAAACAGAGTATTTTAGGAGTTTAGAGAGGTGAAGAACACTATGGTGAAAAGAGGAAGTGGTTTCTTTCTATAGCTAAGGCGCTGTGTCTTCGGACAACTGTAGTGTATATCCCTGACGCTGTGGTATACAAGGTGATCTGGGTGCTCTTTGACACTGCACCATAAAGCAGAGAGCGTCTGTGGTAGGCTGTATGTTGTCTGTGTTTTCACTTATGTGGGTATGTATGTGGCTTCCAGTTCCTGCTTTGACCAAAGTGAACTCCCTTGAAGATGAAGGGATTGTTCTGAAGGTTGAGGAAAGTGAAGAGCAGAAAAAAGAAATAAAAAAGGAAAGTGGAGCAGAACACCAAGAAACAAAGGAGGAAAAGCCAGTGGAGCCGTTTAACGAACCATCCACGAGCTCTGGGTCTTCTTGTCCAGAGGTAAAACGAACCTTCCTTTCTGTCCTGTATGTCTTCATGCTGACGACAGGTGAAGTAGAGCCCACCTCTCTCTCAGGTTCAGTGAAGAGGTAGATGCTTTCTGTCTGTGTCCTTGTTCCTCTTCAGTCACTGGCACTTGACAAGTGAGGTCTCTGTGGAGCACAATGCTGGCTGTGGAAAGCTCCAGTAGAAATGGGTGACAGGGGTGTAAGGTTGGTTTGCAGGTAGGTTAGATCGGTCTCTTCTCAGCCTTTACACCAAGGTAACTCCTGAGTTTGTTCTGTCACAGCGGTATTGTAGCCACATGTGCATGGTAGTCCAGCTCTTGATTTCTTAAACATCTATGGCTATCACGGTAAATTTCGACAGAAATTTCCAGTGGAAGCTGCTCAAACCACATCAGAATCCTCGTGTGGATGAAATGGTAGTATAGGTTGGTTATAAAAATAAGTGTGTCTGAGACAAAAGAAAATCTTGCATAAGAAAAATGCTGTGCTGGAAAGAACAGAGCGTATGTGAAGTGATGTTGCAGAGCACTGAAAGCTCTCGTTTTAATTCAGGTTATTACTAAGAGCGAGGAGCCAGTCTGCAAGCTGAAAGAACTCCAAAGCAAGCCATTTTTAAAAAAAGACACTGCTACCTTTTGGCCATCGAACTGGAGAAGCAAACTCTGCACCTGTGCAGACTGTTTGGTACGTACTGACGGGGGGGAGGCAGGGAGGAGCTCCCAGACAATCTTTAAAGCCAAGCTTGTAGATAAAATCTGTGTAAACGTTCTTACTCTGCATATAAACATTTAAAAATCCTTCCACCGCACATACAGAAACACACTGAATCCTTTGGAATTAATGCTGCGTGAAGGAGCTTCTGAACGTTTGTATTTTCTTTGCTGCTTAAATCCAGTATTGCTTTGGAAGTCACCACAGGGAGATGTCTGAAATGCTCGGTACAAAATTGACAGTATCGCTTTTATCATTATTTGTGATACCGAACACAAAAAGGATTGGGGCAGAGCATCTCCATCTGAGAAGTTTTGTAACATACAAGTAAATTTTACTTTATTCTCCAGAAAATGTATGCAGATCTTGAAGTCCAGTTCCTGACAGATGAATGTGATACTGTCTTGGCTTACGAAAACAAAGGTACCAGTGACCAAGAAACAGAGCGGAGAGACCCTTTAATGGACACCCTCAACAGCATGAACAGAGTGCAGCAAGTAGAGCTCATCTGTGGTAAATACAGCTGCTTAACACTTTACCTGAACGTTTCCCATAAGAGATCGGTGTCAGGTCTTGCAGTGTTGTGTCAAACTGTTTCTGAAGTACTGTGGAGAAGGCTGTATGACGGATTGCACACCTCAGGCTGTTATTACAGCTTGAACTTAAAGCGAGGAGCAAGATGATGTGGGGATTTTTCCTGTAGTTAACATCTTAAATATTGTATTGATGGCAATTGCTTATAGTGTGACTGTTTAAACACTAATTTACATTTCTGCTGTCTGACTTATTTATCTTCCCTTGTTGTGTTGTTTGGCCATCTCCTGTTGTCTGTGGCAGTGCCAGCGGGTGTGAAGCTGGGGTGCAGGGTGCGCCGTGGCAGCTTGGCCACAAGGTCTGTTGCCAAGGCAGTGTTGAGGTGTCTACAGCTGGAGCCACTTTTCCCTCTTCTGAGCGAGCGAGGGGCTTGTGCTCTGGTGAGGACACTTGACCAGTCCTCAGTTACAGATCAGGACTTCCCCCCACTGCCCACACCTGGGGGTCTTTTAATTGATTGTCCTAATTCACTCACTGAACTTCTGTACCTTTCTCTGAAGATCACCTGAGACTGCATAGGCTGCCATGATAAATTATTTGGCTTCTCATGTTTATCTGAATTTGCCTGCTTTCTATTATTCATAATCCAGTTCAAACCTAGGTTTACTTCAGACAAATCTAACAAGTGACAAGAGGAAGTAGACCAAGCTGTCTTAAGCCTGCGTTAAACTAAAGCTGTGTATCTTCTAAGGTTTTTTTTTGTTTTCTTTCCCTTGCCTTTGCTTCTCCATCCAGAATACAACGATTTAAAGACAGAGCTGACTGACTATCTCAGGAGATTTGCAGATGAGGGAACGGTAAGTTGCAACTCACAGAATTTTTGTCAGAAAATGTGTTTTTGAGCACTGTTGTGGGGTGAGTGTTGAACACTATGACGCTATGTTACAATGTCTTGTTCCTGTCTCTTGGAGTTGCTGGTACTGCAGTAGAAATTAGAAATCCTTGATTTGATTGGAATTTAAAAGTTGTATTTCCTTAATGACATTGCTGAGAGATAATGGGGACCTCACAGAAATCTGTCTATAAAGCATTGAGAGCGGTTTGGAAACTTAAATGAAACTTCTCTTGCTCTGGAAAAACATTCAGGAAAAAAAAAAAGCTCTTAACCTTGATGCTTCTTCTTAGACTGACTTGAAAGCCTTAGAAGTGTAAGGACTGACTAAATATTGGCAAGCAGTCCTGTTAGTTGTTTTCTGGAGAAATTTCCATGCTATTATTAAAGCATGCATAATGTTGCTAAATTGCCATTCTTAGTTACATTGTAATGAGTCTGAAGTGAGCTAGTGAAAGTCTTGCTTTGTGTTACTTTTTCTGATGATAAAAGCAAGTGGTCAAACCCGTTTAAAATACCATCAGGAGCTTTGCTCCATGTGCTTGTTCAGCCTTTGAAGAGCTCATTTCTCTGTATTCTCTTGTCATAGAATTTGGGCATTAATCAGCACCTTTGGGTATACCAGGAGAGGGGTTCTGGTAGCTGTACCAGAGAGGCAGGATACTTGCTTTTATATGCTTTGGATATTGCATGTGGGATGCATGCACAAAAAAAAAGAGGATCATTTAGTTGAATTTTTGTACCCCAACTTGGGTTTCATACCGCTTCCCCTAGGTGGTTAAAAGAGAAGACATTCAGCACTTCTTTGAAGAATTTCAGTCCCGGAAAAGACGACGGACTAACAGGATGCAGTACTACTGTAGTTAGACTGAGAGGGCTGGCTCTGAGAGGACGACTGGAAAAACAGCATTCATTGACAAACAAGAGGCATCTTCAGTTTTTGGCTTCTCATCCAAATCCAGCTGCCCAAGAAACATCTTCATTTTGTCCCATTTCTCTTATCTGTAGCGCCTAGAGCGTGTTCTTAGCAGGTCCATTGCATTTATAGGGATTTCAGCACTCATCGACTTTGCATTCCCATGAACGCTGGCCTTGTCTCGGGGTTAAAGAACAGCGTGCGGCTGGTTGTTCCCTGCAGCCTGTCACCTGTGGTACTGTTAGAACAGGGTACAGCTACAGGCACTGCGACCCAACGGGCTGCCCATCCTCCCCTCTGCACAGTGCAGGTGGAGAGAGAGCAGCACCCCTGCAGTGCTCCCTGAGGGGCTGAGGGGGTGTTCCCGAGGCAGGTGACAAAGGAGAAATCACAGCTTAGGCTGATGCAATGGAGTGCTCCGTCTGCTTCTACCAATTCAAAACCTTTGTTTCTAATGTTGTACAGTGATGTTTCACACACACAGACTTGTCACATCAGGTTTATCTGCTCACTAGAACACAAACACTGTCTAGGAGGTACTAAATTACAAATTAAGCATTAGGGGATGTTCTAGGACTTCTAATGCGTTTTGATTTTTATAAAAGACAGCCTACTGCGAATTACGCTACTTATAAATGTTTCTGAAAACACTGCAGCATCCTGGCATTTTGCTACAGTTTAAACTGTCATCTTTTTCTAATCACTGTGATAATAATGGAGCAGGAGATGTTTCACAGACTTAAGAATCTACACTTCGCTACAAGTAAATTCTGACTTTTCATAGGGTTGGAGCCTGATGTAGTTTTTAGTTTTCTTTACCCACAAACTTTAAGGAAGTTCTAATTTTTAACTCCTGCTTGCTGTAGCTGGAGGATTTCTTTACCATGGGATCCTGTTCTGCTTCCATGTTAATGACTTCTGAGAAGAAAACCAGGCCTTTCTCTCTCATCCTCCCTACTAACTGTTTCTGACCACTTTATTTACAAGAGCTAGTTCTAGGGTAGAGGCTCAAGCCATGGGTTTGTTTCACACAAAATGAGTAGTTGCTTTTAAATTTAACTCTGGGTATTGTATGTGCTTTTTTTTTTTGTAGCAACCATTAGAGGAGTTGTAACTGCATATCTCACTAAAATACCTAAAAATTAAAGAACCATTCAGGCTGTGTTGTCTTGTTTTTCTGAAGTGCTGCTGCAGTGGTTTGTTTCTAACCTCTAAAATAGATCTTCCTGAATGAAGGTGCCGATATAATTAACACTTCAGACCATACCCTCTTCTCTCCCCACTTTACTTCAGGACATAACCCACGCTCTTTTGCTGTCGTACAAAGTGAGAGCAGCCAAGCTTTTCTGCTGCTGGACCGTGGCACTGCCGCACTTGAGCCACCTCTTTGAAGTGGTGAAGTTCCTGTGAAAGAGGTGATGAATATTCAGCTGGTGCAGGGTAACTGGGACATGGGGGCTTTGTCCTCTGTTCTGAGAGCAGAAACACTCCCAGCTCCTGGGCAAAGTCCCTCAGCCCTGACTAAGTAATCCCAGTGCCTGCAGCAGCAAACGGTCTCCCTTAATTAAGCTGCAGCCAGAAGAACTCATTCAACTATTTCACCAAAGTGCCTTTCCTTTTTAATAATCTGCTCTGAACAGTGCCACCAATTTTGAACTCTTTGTACCAGTTTGTACTGTACCTTTGATGTTCAGAGCAATTTTGTGCACTTTTTTCCTGGAGGGAATCACAGACCCTGCCACGTGTAAGAGCCTTTCCTGTTAAAGGGCACCTTAAGGTTTGTACTGAACTGCTCCTTTCCCCCCACCATCGCAGATTTGGAGTCCCCAGGGCAGGGTGGGCTCAGCGTGGCAGCCCTGGGTAACACCAAAATGGAAGAAGTAGCGCAAGCACCTTCTATACAAGCCATTTATTTGAAATGCCAACTATAGGTAGGGTAGAGTCAGTGTTACATGCTTCTCAGCAACAGTAGAAAAATAGAACCAGTGAAAACCTTTTTACAACTGTAATGGTACTCAAAAGAGAAATGTATTGTTTTACAATGCATCACACAAGACTAGAATTCAAGTTTGGAGGTACCTAAATAAAAATACTATTTTTTTTAAAAAACACTATGTACAATTGAAGCGTAAACAAGTTTTACAAAGTACTGGTTATGCAGGTTGTAGAAAAAACACTTGCATAGGACATGAAGTCAGTTTAAGAAAGTTTTCTGAGCCTTTAGCATTGAAGGCACTTGACTTGATACCAGTAACAACACAAGGACAGGAAACAGAACTGTAACGCTGCCCAAGGCAGGGCGACCTTGGCAGTACAGAGAATTACAGAAACCCCAAATAGTGACAGTTTTCTCTCTCAGCTGTTCCCTGCCTTGGGCAGAGCTCAGCACCACCTCTACCATAGAAGCAAATAATTATTAGAACAGTGCCTCAAACAGCACAAGTATTCTTTTTAAACAAAAAACCCCAAACCAAAAGGAAAACACTCCACAAACCAACCCCAAAACCCCTACCAAACCCAAACCAAAGGAACACATAAGACAAACATTTGGGGCGTTCCAGGATCAAAGCCCAGGGATTACAAGTACAGGTGGCCACAGCCTTCACTTCCAGAAACGAAACTCCTCAAGGACAAGGAAAACACACCAAGAAACTGCCAGTCACCACAGCAGTTATTGACACACACCAACAGCAACGCCGTGGAACAACAAAACATTGCAAAGGAAGAATCTTTCAGGAATTAAGTTATTTGTCCATATATTAAGGAAAAAGAGGAAGGGGTCAGGAAAAAGGGAAATAAGAATTTTTGCATGTTGCTCACTAAAGGAAAGTCTGAGCTCTCTTTACCAGAACAGGAGCACAAGTCTTCCTCATCCAAGAAAACATCACGTTCACACCTCCACCCTCAAGCAAAACCCAGTGATCCGTTCTCTCCAGCAAACGGACAGGAAGAGGAGACGTCACTCCCAGCCTAACCAAAGTGCTTAATGTAAACACGGAGCTTCTCCACCAAAGTGTCTGCAGCCAGAGCAGCAGCAGCAGGGAGCACGGGTGTGTGTCCTGCAAGCAAAGTGTGGTATGAACACTAACCTCGAATAATGCTTCCATGGAGAACCAAGAGGGTCTCTCTCCCCTCCCTCCACACGTCCAACCAGGCAGGAAATCCTACGCCAGAGGACAGAAATACAGTTCCCGTAATCTGACAACTCCTCCTCTTCCGCTCCGGATCGGCTGCCATCAGCCACTGTCTTCTCCCCAGCTCAAAACCCAGTGAAAACACAGATTGTCTACATGGCCCGATTGTCTCTGTGGCCTCAGAAGGACTCGTCTCTTATTTTGTACCTACTTCTAAACACTTTATTCTCTTTTTAATACTGCTCAGCTTCTGAGACTTCAGAAGCAATTCTGTACTCCAAAATGCAGACATGACCCCCCAGAGGCATTTCTCTCCAGCTTATACGAAAGCCAAAGCATTTCATGATTTCCCTCAAGCCATGACCTCAAAACTTCTGTCTTCATCAGCCACTTCCCCACAGATTTCAAGCTTAAAACTTACATCTGCAGATTTAGCCCCATCTCTGTCCAGGCACACAGTGCCACTTCACACCATGGTAACTAGAATAGTTTTTTCAAAGTACATCTATTGATTTTAGGTAAAAAATCAGTTATTCAGAACAGAAAGTCTTCTCAGTACAGCTACAACTTCTCAGTGATTAAGCTACCGACGTGGATATGACGTGAGCGCAGGGAGTTTTGGGGTTTTGTGTGATGGATGTTAATGCTTCGAGGGCTTGGGAGCACAAGGCCCAAGTGTCTGGTTTGGGCTATGCCGTCGGACAGCGCCAAGCTCAAATCTTCAGAGGAAGCCAACGAACCTCAGTCCCTCACCTGCAGCAGCACCATCCCCCAACTCTCACCTCCTTGCACTTAACCATGTTCTACACTGCAGGCCCGTGGAAATGCCCCACACTGGGGATGAGGCCAGGACCGCCCAGGTCTTGACTGGGCAAAAAAAAGAGATTAAAAAGGCTGACAGAGGAATATGACAAAACAAAAGGCAAAAACCCCTCTCACCTACAAGACACAGCACCTGCCCAGTGTAGCTGTTCTCCTCCCATCCCACAGCATCCTTCCACAGCTGCACCTCACACAGAGCATCTGCAAAGCTTCCATGGAAGCTGGGGGCCTACAGATGTGTACGCAGGAGACACTGGGGTTCACTGGTTCAAACACCCAAATCTTCATTTATCTAAAACTGTTTGGTATTTTGGAAAGGCAGGATTCAATTCAATGTATTTCAGTGACACTGTGGTGTTGCTACCAGGCCTTGCATACTGTAATTAAACAGCTTAGGTAAGGATCTGCCGACCACCAACACTAGAAGTAAAGTTGCAGCAAGACTTATGTTTCAATAATATTAAGCATTTTGAACTGCAGGACACAACTCAACCTAACCCTAAAGTAGTCCTTAGGTCACACTTGGGATTAATGTTTTCTACCACAGAAATTCTTCCTTATAGAAACTGCATTTAAAACCACCCCAAAGAGGCCTTTACCAGCAATCACTACACTGCAGCGGCATCAGATCCCATCCTCACTGCAAGGAGTCTGCAGTACAAACTGCATTCAGGATGCACTTAGTAATGACAAGCACTGCAGCGGGTGCAGTGCTTAACCCCAGCCCAGTGGCAGGGAGCCAGCCCAGATCACCACCATTCG